AATAAGTTTGGACTTTGTTGTTGCTTCTGACACAAACCACATTTAGTAGGTATGCTCTAGAAAGGATTCAAGCCTTGATTTAGGTTGCAAGAAATGACTGTTACCTCTCTTTAACCCCCTTAAGATTTGATTAATTTTCTCAGTGTGCAAATGATACAGAAATACTTTTGGCTGTGCATCATAAAGTTGAACTGTGGTGAATCTTTGAAAAGAATTGAAACATTTACTGATAACCTTCTATGTGGTAGGCACGTGTATCTGTCAGAAACAGATCTTTCAAGAGCTGACGGATTAGATGGGAAGACATTTACAGGCTATAACTCAAATAAGTGATAGATGCTATAGTAACAGTGAGAATTGAGATTAGAACTTCATTTGGAGTATGTAAAATGAGGTGGCATTTGATGAAGTGGGCTTTAATGGATGAGTAAACGATTACAGGTCTTTGAAATAGCATGAATTAAAAAAAAAAACATTAATGTGTGTGGTGTGTAAGAGGTTGTATTGGTGCCTACCAGTTAGGAAACACCATGAGGAGGAAACAGGTTAAAAAGGTAGTTTGGAGCCATATTATGAGCATACTGATGTTTTATTCTGTAAATGAGACTGATGAGAGTGGCTTGAAATTAGCTCTGGCTGTCAAGAATCAAGTTATCTAGTTTGTTTTTTTTTACTTTGCGTCTGAGGAACTGGTACAGATACAGTGACACAGCTCAGTTCCATAGCTTGTTACTTGGTTTTTTAACCAAGGCCTAAATCCAGACTTGATTTACCATCTGTATTGAAGATGTACTTGAAATGGTGGAGAGGTCAGACCCACCAGGATACTGTTTTAATAATCTAGGTGGGAAATCTCAAGGACATCAACTAAGACAGTAACAGTAAAGGAGAGCAGATATAGAAGGAACTTATATAAAACAATAGGATTTGGTGGAGAGGAGGAAATTGGAGATAACCATAGCTTCTACTCTGGATGAAAGGAAGTGTTGAGCCCATTATAAAAAGGTGACAATGTTTTGTAAAACTAGTATTATGTGCAAATATTTGAAAACAGTCTGATTCTGATCTTTTAAAGTTCAGTATTTCAGAGAATCAAGTTGTGATATAAAGATTTGAGGAATATTGTATAGGTAGTAATCTTAGTTTGCTGCATCCAGGGCTTTTAAAGTCCTTGGGCTGCTAACCTTGCTGAGTAGCGGGTGTCTTATTATTTCATTTGTAGTTTAGAGTCTCTAGCACTATTATTCTCTGTTCATGGCAGACAATCAGTAATTGTTTATTAATTAATTGGTTTTAATTTGTGGTATTGTAATCCCAAGAATAAGAGCTTATCTCTACCAAGAAGAGAGCTTAGGAATCTTTGGTTTTGTGGGACGATATTCAAAGCTGACATCATACCCTAACCTTACAAACATAAAATATGTATATAAACATAAAAGTGTCCATTTTTAGGTTTATAAGGCTTCTAACATGGGGTACACTTATATTCTATTTACAATGCTATAGTTACTGTAGAATCCATTCCTGTCTTTATCATTCCTGTTAAGAGTAGTGGACATTAGTTTTTTCACCTACTTTAGTCAAATGCTCAAACACCCTGTTGAAAGTGATGATGAACTATTTATTACACTGTGAAAAGAGAAAAGGTAGGACAACGGGTTAATCCATTTTTCTGAAAGATGTGTGTCGAGTTTGAGGTTTGGAAGAAAAAATATCTCCGTTAACCTAGAGGAATACATGCACCCACCTGTTTACCTAGCTATAGACTTTAGAAGCCTTTGTGCATATAGGACCAATTATTTAAACAATTCAAGATTTAGAATTCAGTGTGTTCTTAGCTTTATGAACAGATGGATTAATTCTGAGTCACTTGCCAAATGGACCAACTGCTCATTTTAAAATGAGCAGTGTTCGTCTGCGTAAAGAAATTAAGGTAAGTTTTAGGCAAATTATTTGATTGGCACTGGTCTCCTCATAGTATTTGCTTAAGTAGACTGTAATACAGCTGACTGAATTTTTTTTTTATTCCTCCCCCAAGGATACTTTTCTGTTTATCATCAGGTAGAGTAGGAAAAAGGGAGGGAGAGAAAGAGAGAGAGAAACATCAATGTGATAGGGCTACATCAACTGCTTGCCTCCCCCAAGATCCAACTAGGCCGGGGGACGAACCGCAACCAAGGCACATGCCCTTGACCAGAATCAAACCCGTAACTCCTTGGTCCAAGGGCCAACACTCTAACCACTGAGAAAACTGGCAGGGCACAGCTGACTGATTTTAATAATGGCATTTGCTGTCCTGATTAAAGCAGTTTTCTCTAATGACAGTTTTCTTGAGACTCTTATGATTGAGTTATGGCAGACAGGCAACAGCCTTCATTACTATGAAACATTCCTTTTCCAGTAGAACTTTCTTTTTGGTGCATTCACAGCATATAAAATATATTTAGATACATCTTTATGGGCTTGATAAGGCATCTGTGGTTGTCATTGATAAATTTTTCATAGTATTTGCCATGTAAATTATAAAACTTAAAGTTGCAGTGATAATAGTTTTGTTGATAAACTTAATTCATTGTGATTTTTCGTTTTTCTAGAGAAGAGGCAAGGACCCCACAGCACACACACCTGAAATAATTCTGAATAATTTTACAACACGGCTGGGTCATTCTGTTGGACGAATGTTTGCATCTCTCTTTCCCCATAATCCTCAGTTTATTGGAAGGCAGGTTGCCACATTCCACAATCAACGGGATTATATCTTCTTCAGATTTCATAGGTGAGGAAGGACTTAATTCCTTGGACTTGAACTTTAATCATGAAATAAATTTTCAACATAAACCTGTTTTCTCATGTATTATGGTAGGTGTTATAGATGAGAAATCAATTATCTTTGAAACCTGTCATAATGTTAAAGAAGTAACCGTTGCATTTATTCAGACTAATTTCCTCAACTTTTCTATTTACATTTGAAGATACATATTCAAGAGTGAAAAGAAAGTGGGAATTCAGGAACTTGGGCCACGTTTTACCTTAAAATTAAGATCTCTTCAGAAAGGAACCTTTGATTCTAAATATGGAGAATATGAATGGGTCCATAAGGTATGTGCTTACTCCTGAAAAAGCCATTTAAGTGTGGAATGAGAAGGAAATCATATACTTTTAAAGCTTTGGGGTTTTATACCTTAAGTTATACTTCTGAATGTCTTCCTCTTCATGAGTTAAAAGAACCATTCTCTGATGTGGTAGTTGAGTCTGGTGATATATCCTGGTTCATTTGAAGTATCCTAAAGATCATCAGTTCTCAAAGTAGGACCAGAAGCATCACCTAAAAACTTTAAGAAGGAAAATTGGCCCTGGCCGGTTTGGCTCAGCGGTTAGAGCATCCGCCTGCGGTCCGGAGAGACCCGGGTTCGGTTCCCACTAAGGGCATGTACCTCAGTTGCGGTTTGTCCCTGGCCCTGGTTGGTCGTGCGGGTGGCAGCCACTCGATGTGTCCCTTTCACATCGATGTTTCCCTCTCTCTCTCTCTCTCTCTCCCTCCGACTCTATCTGTGCAAAAAATGGAAAAATATCCTCCGGTGAGGATTAAAAAAAAAAAAGAAGGAAAATTGTTGGGCCATAGATCTACTGAATTGGACCCAGCAATGTACTTACAAGCCTGTGGTTACCCTGATTCTGGGTTGAGAACTATTGCTACATAGAAGTTTTGTAGACATTTGGTGATATCTATAATAAATCATAAAAAATAAAAAAAAATCATTGTTTAATATAATCTCTTTTCTATCTATAAGTAGTATTTTACTTGTGATTTTTACTTTTAAATTGTATATATTTTACACGTATACATCTATTGGAACCATAACTTCCAATACCTTTTACATTAGACTTAAAGACTGATACTTCAGAGACAGTTTTTTAACACTGTTACCCATAGATTGTTTACTAACTTTGTTTACCCCCTAACTTTTCAGCCCCGGGAAATGGATACAAGTAGAAGAAAATTCCATTTATAAAGTACTGAAGGAACACTATTGGATTTTGCTGAACAGGCCCTGAATTTGTGACTGAAGACTCTTCAAAATGGCATTTACTGATTTCATACACCTTTCATGTCTGGACAAATTACTAAGTGCCGTGAACTGTCACTCACTGTTTCCATAGGAAATACAAATAAAAGTAATTTTGGTGAGAGTTTAAGTTGCAATTTAGATTTCCTGAAATTTAATTTTTAGTAACTGAATAATTTAAGTTGGAATCAAGACTCAATCTAACTTTCCCATGTATACTTTCATGGAACATGTGGGCTAGAGAAAAATACAGTACTTGATAGATTACTATGTAATCAACCCACTTGGTTTTCTACCAGGCTGATCTTGGATCTGGCACAGTTAAGTCAGTTTTTTGACTGATTGGAAGCCAGGTGTCCGGGATGTTTTTAACATTCCTTTAAGCCTTTCAGAGAATAAACATTTTTAAGCAAAATGGTTAAAAATTTAAAGCAAAGTTGCAAATTATTGAAGCCAATCTTTAGCTCCTTTTTTCTTGCTACATTATAACTCATTACTGGGTACTATTGAGTACTCCATTCAGGAATTGTCTCAAGATCTTCAGTTTTTCTTATGTCTAATGGAATTCTTGCATCCAATTTTTTCTCTACTGTCCTTATTAGGAGATAACTTAGGTGTAATGGTAATATACCTACAAAGGAGTTTATTAGAAATATTATTAAACCAAAGTTAACCCTTTAAATTACTCATGAATAAAAACTGTAATAGTATTAACAACTTTCTCCTGACTCTTTAAAGAAGTTTGCAACTTACCTTTACTTTTCTAGCAGTCTTATAAGTGTATGACATACAGTTACGTGAGAGAAGTTGGCGGAAAAAAACACTAAAAACTTAACCCATAATGACAATGGGAAAATTGCGACTTATCTTAGTTGTTCAAAACAAATTAATACATATTGTATTACCAATAATTAAGCAAAAATATATTTTTATACTAAGTATTTTATTTGTATGCTGCTGCCAGTGTATATAAAATAATCACCCTTGTGGAACAGAAATTCATGAAAATTCAGAGAGGTAGATGTTAAGGACTGACAAAAGCAGAAGATTGTATAGTATGGCACATTGTAAGATAAGTATTTATACAGGCTTCCAATTTAATAACTCTGAATAGTCATCGGTTCAAGAAAAGTCGCTTAGAACACCTGAAATGGAAGGGAAAAAGTGAATTAGTGTAAAATGTCAAAGAACAATAGTTTTTTCTGAATAGTACATTTTATATTACTTTTAAAGCATTCATCTGAATGTCAGTTTATAAAGTACTTTCAATTAAACTAAACCTAGTTTTGTTTTGTTTTGTTTAAAAAAGCAGACAGCTTGGCCAGTGTGGCTTAGTGGATTTAGTATTGTCCCATGGTTTGATTCCCAGTCAGGGCACATGCCCGGGTTGCAGGCTTGATCCCCCATTGGGGGCATGCAGGAGGCAACTACTCGATGCTTCTCTCTTTCTCCCTTTCTCTCTCTCAAAAAAAAAAAAAAAAAAAAAAAAAAAATATGTATTTTTTAAAAAGACACATCAGCCCTATGTATTTTTGGTTCAGTAACCTCGGCCAGCAGACCAGAGAGACCTGGGTTTGGTTCTCACTAAGGGCACATACCTCGGTTGCAGTTTGTCTCTGGCCCTGGTTGGGGTTGTGTGGGTGGCAACCAGTCAATGTTCTTCTCTCACATTGATATTTCTTTCTCCCTCTCTATCTGAAGATAAATGCAAAAATGTCCTTGGTTGAGGATAAATAAATAAAGACACATCACAGGGTTTCTGGGAAAATGAAAAATAAGATGGGAAATGAGTATGGTGTAAAATGTTAACTCTCAATTTTAGAACTTTTTTCCCCCTTTCATTGATTTCAGGGAGAGGGAGAGAGAGATAGATACATCAATGAGAGAGAACAATGACTGTCCATCTCCTGCACGCTGCCAACTGGAGATTGGGCCCACAACCTGGGCATGTGTCCCGACCAGGAGTCAAACTGGTGACCTCTTGGTGCATGGGTCGATGCTCAACCACTGAGCCATACCAGCCGGACAAACTTTCAATTTTTAAAACCACTCTGAAGTATGTATCACTCATGGTTTATAAATAAAAACTTAAAGATGAACTTGCCAAGGTCACTGCCAAGATACACTGTATATCTTCATTTAAAATGAGCAATAATATTTCGGGAGAGTATTTGGTAATATCTAAGGTAGAAGAGGCAATCACACTTCTCTATTTCCTCAATAAACCTATATACAAAGAGAAACGTGTACATGGATATTGCCTTGAGTGATATTTTAACAGCAAAGAACTGGAAATATCCTAAATGCAACTCAATGCAATAGCAAAGTTTAAAAAGACTAGTGTTAATAAAATTTAAATGTCATTCCTTATTGAATAATTTTACTTCTAGAAATGTATCTTAAAGAAATAGGTAAAGAATATATAAATATATAGGTACCAAAATATTACCTTCAAATTTGGAAACTTAAATGAATTATAATTTACAGTACAACTACTGAACATCTCATTGAAAGGGGAACACTTATAAGGATTTTTAAAAAGCAGGATAAGTCCGGCCGGTGTGGCTCAGTGGTTGAGCATCGACCCATGCACCAAGAGGTCGCCGGTTCGATTGCTGGTCAGGACACATGCCCAGGTTGTGGGATGAATCCCCAGTGGGGAGCATGCAGGAGGCAGCCAATCAATGTTCTCTTTCATTGATGTTTCTATCTCTCCCTCTCCATTCCTCTCTCTCTAAAATAAAGGAAAAAAGAAATAAAAAATGATATACAGTCATCCCTCGCCACTTCGCATTTCAACTTTTGTGGCTTCACTCTATCGTGGTCTTTTCATTATGGTATGGTATGTATGGAGTATGGTATGGGGCATGGTATGGTACGGTGTATGGCATATGGTATGGGGTATGGCGTGTGGTATGGCATATGGTGTGGTATGCTATGGTACGATGTATGGGGTATGGAATGGTACGGTGTATGAGGAATGGTATGGTGTATGGTAGGGGGCAGGGCAGGGCATATGAAAAAAATGCGATAGAGTGAAGCCGCGAAAGTCAAAGAGCGAAGTGGCAAGTACGGCTGTATATAAATAATCCTACTTCGTGGAAATTCATTTATCATTGTAGAGTCTGGAACTGATTAACTGCAATAAACGAGGGCTGACTGTACTATGGCCCTCATTTGACTGACTGATTTGAGAAAGAGGCAAGGAGAGAGAAAAACATCAATTTGTTGTTTCACTTATTTATGTATTCATTCACTGGTTGATTCTTGTATGTGCCCTGACTGGGGATCGAACCTGCAACCTTTGGTGTATTGGGACAACCCTCTAACCAAAGGAACTACCCAGCTGTCCAAGGCTGATAATCCTCCTTAAAAATATTTTTTTTTCTCTTAAAGGAATATCTAACTAGTTATTTCTAGGTATACTGATCATGGTAATTTGTGTTTTCCTTGTACTAGCTGTTGATAAATTACCTATGCTTTTTTTCATTATAAAAATCCGTTCCAGACTCTAGCAGTTGTACCTGGCCTTGAAGGATTCCTGGGGTGCTCGAATACATAGGCCTACAGTCCATACGTACAGTAATTTTAATTTTAATATAGGGGTGTATAATTGACTCAGACAACCGAGCACGTGCGGTATCATTTTCACTGTCTCAATCAACTTTTTAATGAATATGTTTGAAAAAACCGCGATAGAGTGAAGCCGCAAAAGTCAAAGTGGCAAGGGACGACTATATATAAATAAAGAATCCTACTTCGCAGAAATTCATTTATTGCTCTAGAGTCTGGAACTGATTAACCACAATAAATGAGGGCTGACTGTGCATCAAATTTGAAAATGCTTTCACATCATAGTATTTTTTTCCTAGTCAAAAATGTTTCATATCTTAATATCCACAAAGCTGTTTTATTATACTACCAGGATTAATAACCATTATTATTATTATTTTTAATCCTCACTCAAGGACATTTTTGCATTTATCTTTAGATAGACCAGGCGGGAGACAGAGCAGGAGAGAGAGAGAGAAACATCGATGTGAGAGAGACACACTGAGTGGTTGCCGCCCACACAACCCTAACTAGGGCAAACCACGGTACATGCCCTTAGCGGGAACCGAACATGGGACTCCCTGGTCCACGTGCTGATGCTCTAACCACTGAGCAAAACCGGCCAGGGCTAATAACCATTATTTTACTTTGAATTCTGGGTTGTTATCCCAGCCATATTTAAACTTATCTGTAATCTCCTGTGGAATGTAGACTACTAATAGCCAGTTAAGAGGCAGGCTTAATAGTATCTTATTTACAAATGAAAATAAGCCATTTTATAAAGTGAACACAACTGGAACAGAAGTTTAAAAAGGACTTTTAATAAACCATAAAAACATGAATGTCCAAAAACTGCATGAAGAATTAATACTGTCATAAGCAAAGAGCTATTAAATTTAAACAGGAGTTAGATTGTTAAAAAGAATTACTTCCATACAGAAAAATCTGTCATTCGGAGGTGCTTTGCCCCCCCGCCCCGGTGTTTCAAAGATCTTAACCAATTTAACCAATTATTGTATTTACTAGAAACATGCTGTACTTATACAGACTTCCTGGATACTCTGAAGTCTAAAAAGCTTAATTAGGGAGGGCTATTCAACATGGTATTTTGGGAAGTAGCTTCCTGGACTTTGAGGAGTTAGAATGTTTGTAAAGGGTGTGTACCATACAGTGTCTTATTTTTAAAGCACAGTAAGTTTAAGGTTGCTTCTCATAGGTCAATACTAGTTGAATACACACCCTGACTAAAGAAACTACAGCTTTATAAAATGTAGCACCTTTGTCCACAGGGCATTTTGGTCACATCTCTTTTGGACTAATGTGTTTTTGCGCACACTGACAATTGATCTGGAAGGCACAGACTAAAATTTGTAAGTCAGCTTGTTCAACTGTCTCATTTTCTCTTGCATTCACAACTCCCCATTTGCTATGCTGCCCTATAGCTGAATTCTATTAGCACAAAAGCACAAAATCCATTAGTAGTACATAAACACTGCAGATTCTTTAAAAACTAAATATTTGCTATGTACACAAAAATTAAACTAGTATTTAGGGACCTCAAAATACACCATTAAGCCAATGCTTAAAAAGTAACATGGCTGTCACAGCTGTGAAATTTTCTTAACTCTTCTATATCCTCTTTTATGGTTATTAAATCATTTAATTAACCCTGTTTATGGGACAAATGAAGCAATTAGATTTCATCAATCCTCACTGTCCTCACAAAACAAGACTGGAAATTTGCAGTGCCAAACAAAAGTGCACAGCGACAAAGAAAAAGCACTGGTTATTCCTGCTATGTGCCCTTTGTTTTACTGGAAGGAAACTTACCTTCAAAGATTCATTTCACTACAAAAAGGAACAGACTTTCTGGGGTCTGAAGGGATTGGTACTTGAAGATACTCCAGTCAGCAGGGGGTCATGTTGAGCATTCTGCAGACAGAATTGTTTCAAATCTGCAGCTGCCTGGGAAACCTATACATAATAAAAGAGGAGGTATGAGAATGTTTTAAGGAAAAGTTTTCTCAAATCTTTCAAAATACCTGCAATAAACACTTTTCTTAGCTCAAAAAATACAAGCTAGAGGCCAACAGTCACATACTGAGCTCTTAAAGTACTGCATGTAAATAAGACTAGTTTGTTTTCATTTGCTTATTAGAAGCATCCAATGATTCAATACAAACAGTCCACAATTCTGTTTATCTGCAAAGTATAGCACACATCTCACTAGTCTATTAATAAACAGGCTGCTTAAGTGAACCTTGAGGGTTAAGCAACATCTTGCTTTTTATTAAAAAGCAGTACTGGAGGCAGTACACACGATATAAGAGATTAAGAAAAAAGCATTAAAATTCTAGCAAACTATTCATCTTGAAAACAGTATTACTGAAAAAATGCTACTACTGTGAATGAACATACTGTTCTAAATCTAAACCATTCAGTCCATTGTTTTGGTATTATGTATCATCAGCTGTTTAATGTTACAAAACTGGACAATAACAGCTTTCTACTCAGTGTCAGGTGACTGAAAATATGATGGCAAACTTCAGCTAATTTAAACAGCTTCATTGAATAGCCTACCTTTAAAAAACTGCATTGCCTTACATATGATTTAATAATTTTGATATGTGTATGCAATGCCACTCAAATAGGACTTAAGGGGCTTCCATGGCTTTACAGTTTACTTTGTTTATAACCCGTATCATTTAAACATCTACCATCTGTATATTCTGGTAAGGTGATGTAGAATACAAAAACAATGAACTGAATGGTTCAGAACATGGATGACTAAAAGTTAAGTCTTGAATTGAGGTTTAGGAAGATGGGGAAAATAATCATTTATTCTCAGTATTAACTATCCCTCAAGGAAGATGAGAGCAGCTGTCCATCCAGCTGGGGTATATGGCCTTTGAAAAAGAGGTGAGAGCATCACAGATGCTCTCTATACCAAGAAAGCACGCAGATTACTGCTGTACCCCAGATATTAACCTGATTTTTTTTTTTTTTTTTTTTTAAAAAAAGGACCCATCATCCTGAGACAAATCTAAACTCTGCTTTCAGAATCTATTTGTATGTTTGGCTTATACAACAGTCCGGGGTAATGAATTCCATAGGTTTATCTAGCAACTGTGTAAAGTAGTAGTTTTAAAATACCTAGTACCAAGTACTATGATAAATGGACACTCTGCTCCCTCCAAAAATAAGCTAGGGAGAGTTAAAGTGGTATCATTTTTCACAATCTTTTTTGTGTGGTACGTGCCCCTGGGGGGAACCGAACCCAGGAAGGACTCTCTGGTCCGCAGGCCGATGCTCCAACTGCTGAGCCAAACCAGCCAGGGCTTTTTCACAATCTTATAACTTGATTTCATTCACATTAACCAGCAGTAAAAATACAGTTAAGTATCTGTTAATTTTTTGCCTAAGGTATGTAAACTCCAACTTAACTCCCTTTCACAAACTTCTCAAGCACCACCACGTGCCAAATATACTTCTAGAAACTGAGAATATTGTAAAAGCAACCAGGTCCCTGCTGTTATGGAGCTGACAGTTCAGAGACAAACAGAGACAAGATGCTCTCAAGAAAAAAAGAGTGCTTTGTTAGATCCTACAGGAAGGTATCTCTAAGGAGGTGACATTTAAACTGAGATCTCAATGCCCCCAAATCCAGCCAAGTAACCATCAGTGTGAAACTGATCAGTGAGAATTCCAAGGAATGGGGAAAACAGACAAAAGTTCTAAAACTCACAAGCTGCTAGCCCCTGTGGCACTGGAATAACCATCACCCAGGAGGCTGAAACCCTATAATCCTGCAAAATTACTAGTGCCTGCTTCCACTCTCAAAAGTGTCCTGGGTTGGCAATCACGTGCATGGTCATCCTACATAGGGGAGAATTTGTCAAGCATTTGTGACAATTTCTATCTACTGTATTCAAACAAAGGTTTAAACAGTAAACTTGTGCTAGCTTAAAATTTTTTTCAATCAATGAAAAACAAAAGCATCTAACAGTCATGGATAAAAAAGATGCACAAAATGAAATCAGACTGACCTCATTTTGCAATTTGTATGAAAAGCTCATTTATGCACTGGCCGGTTTGGCTCAGTGGTTGGAGCATGGGCCTGCAGATCAAAAAGTTGAGGGCTCCATTCCGGTAAAGTGTATGTACCTCAGTTGCAGTTCGGTCCAAGGCCCTGGTTGGGGTCAAGCGAGCCAGAGGCAAACCAATCTATATGTCTCTCTCACTTCTCTGTTTCTTTCTCTCTCTCTCTCTCTCTCTCTGATTTAAAAAAAAAAGAAAGAAAAGCTCACTTAAAATCCCAAGGTGGAATCCCATCCCCAGCACTAGCATCAGACTACTTGAGAACTCTAAAACTCACTCACTTGTGGTGGCTTTCAAGATCCTTTCCAGAAGCCTCCTAAAGAATTATGTATAGGATGCAGGCATAGTGCTGGGGAGTTACTGGAGGGGCAAAGGTTTTTATAACAAAGTCCTTGGAGTATTTTAGTCTGAGGACTTAATCTCATTTTCTTTGGACACTACTAGGGCTCAAGTACCCCACTTAACACAGCTTTCAATCAGCATTTATTTTTCTTTCCCAGCCCATTCAAACTATGAGAAAGGCACACCTGAATCACGTAATGGTTGATTGTGAAATATATGGTTTCAAATTTCAGAGTTAAATCCAGTCGAAACTGACCAAAAATACCACTGCATAAGGTTAAGAATTTGGAGATTAGAGAAACGAATTCCAAACAGCAATGGAGTCTACAGCACTTACAGGACAGGGAGGGGAATCCCACACCAAGACTAATGGGAATTTCCCTTCCCTACTGAGGGGAACACAAGCACGTTAGGTCCCTGACATTTCTACTTATGGAAGTAGGTAAGTGGGAGGCCATCTTACTCCACAGAACACTTCTGGGAGAGGTCAAGACTAGCCTGATGAGCACAGAATCAAATCATCTAGGAAAATGGCTGCTTCTTTGAACAGAGGGAATGATTTACATTCTGCTCTCGTTTCTTCTTTTAATTACAAGAATTGCTTTTCACGTGTAAGCTGACCTGTTCCAGAAAGAAGCCAATCCACTCTGGGATTTAAAAAATCAGGTGAAACGTGGAACTGCACTTGAATGTCAGGTTGTCACATCCACACACAAAAGGCTTTTTTCCCAAAAACAAATTACCGAAGACAAGGTCAACGCTAACCAGACGCCCAAATAAGTAAGCCTGGTCCACCCTAATTCCTTTGGGGGCATGTGGTCCTGTAGATATCCCCAAGGTCAGATCACGGCAAAGTGTGCCAAACAAGTACAAAATGCACGCTTTGTACGAGGCTGGTTATACCAGGCACCGGTAGTAACCCTTACACAACGGGAACGTCTCACAAACAAACGTGCAAGTTACGCAAGAATCCGTCCTCAAATTGGGTAGATGAGAGGAGCGGGAGGAAAGAATCTACTACTAACGGGGTGGGTTTGGAAAGGTCTGGCAAGAAAAGAAAACAGTCCGATAAAACCCTGCCGGTAAGGAGAGGCGGCGGCGGGCGGGACGGGAAGGGTGCGGGCCGCGCGGGGAGCGGCGCTGGGCCCCCGGCCGCGAGGCGCTGCGGAGGGAGGGTCGGAATGCGGACAGCCGCCGAAGAAAACTCTCGGGCGGGCGGAAGGGCACACCAACCTGCCCAACCCACAGTGCCGACCCACGCCGCTCAGTCTCTCAAGTCTGCCGCTCCCAGGGCGCCGCCGGCGCCAGGCGCGCATCCTCCCCAGGGGAAGCGAGTCCCACCCGCCCCAGCCAGCTCGACAGCCGATTCCTACCCGCCGCCTCCGCCTTCCCCTCCCCCTCGGCCGCCCTTCCCGCTCACTTTCACGCGGTTGAGCCCGGCTTCCAGCCGGAGCTGTTGAACCACTTTCTTCATAGCGGTGACGCTGGAGGAACCAGACATGGTCCACGCGAGAGCCGGGCAGGTCTGTCGGTAGTGGGTCCACAGGGCCAGACGGCGGGGCAGCGAAGCGAGGGGCGGGGCTCGGAACTTTGTCTCTAAGTTTCCGGTTCTTTGCCCAGCGGCTCCACCCTCGGCGCGCATGCGCGCTCTCTCTGCCTGCGTTTCAGCGCCTCGCCCTGGCCGGAGGCGAGCTTGAGGGGGCGGGGAAGGGAGCGAGAAGGGGCGGCGCTGCGGGACGCCAGCGCAGACGGGACGCCCAGTCTCCTCGCTCCTCTCCTCCCGGCTGGCGGATTTGGGAGAGGTTAGGAGAGAGCTTCTCATTGGCTGCCGAGACCGGAGCGGGATCTGAAGAAGACCCGTGAGCCAAGTCAGACGCTAGAGGGAGTTTATGAACGGCCGGGTGGCGGCTGACAGGGAGGTCCCAGTTTCCAGACGGAGTGGGCGGAGGAGGCCGAGGGGAGGGAAGGGGAGAGCCCTGCCGTGGCGTGGGAGCTACAAATACCCGGTTCCTCTTGGCACCCCATCCCCACAGAGACGTGCCCCTAAGGGACCCGAGTGTGTCCTTCGCCACCGTCAGATCCTGGGGCGCGAGGAGGACGCGGAGGCGGCCGTAACCACCTGGGGGAGGGGGGCGCGGAGCTGGTCCCTAGAGAAAAGAATCTTGTCAAGGTTTGCTTCTGTTGCCTCTTACCTCTTGGTTTTCTAGAAGTGAAAAAAACAAGGTGCTGCTTGAAGATTACACCTGTCTCCTCTTTTTTTAATCTATTTCATTTGGCGCGGGGTGAGGGGATTTTACTTAAAAATAAAACAAAATTTTTTTAATGGTCTGGGAAAGTTTGCTCTTTTGTGTTTCAATTGTAAGTTACTACCTGCTGCTGGACATTGATCTTCAAAGGAGTGTTCTGAAGATGATAGGACCTAATCAAACAAAATAGGCTAAATTTCACCCATGGGACGGTATGTGTTATGTCACAGCATTTAGGACAAATGTTTCCTCTTCTGTTGGGATAGCCCGTCGACGAATATACTAATGATTTCTATGGATATGAATAATTTCATTACTAATGCATTTCAAGTTTTTTGTATAGTGATAAACACCATATATAATTTGCTGTATGTCAACAAAACTTATTTCCTGAACAATTTTAATCATTTTACAAAATGTACAGTGTACTTCAGCTTTGTACTTAATTCATACAATGGATGTAATGAGTAGGATTTTAAACCAGGGTTTGAATTTTGGCTCTATCTACCCTTGGTATCCCTGGGCAAGCCACTTAAACTTTGCTGAGATTCTGTTTCCTCATTTCAAAATGAAATAATAAAACTTCCCAGAGTTGTTTTTGGGAATGAAATGAAATTACATACATTACAATATGACAAGTATCTCAATAAATTGCACTTCTACCTCTTCCCCAGCAGCATTTTAAATAATTTCACTTTTGGTGGCTTGTTGACTAACTTCATAGTTTACACATTTGGAAAATTAAAAATAAGTACCTTTACCCAAAGAATGTAACATGTATGAATGGTCTTATAGATTATACAGAACTAGAAACCTGCTTCTCTGCCCCTCAATCCATTTAATTACTTGATGTGAGATTCTACTATGTTGGTATGTTTAAATGTAGCCCATTTCAGGTTTCCAGTTTTAGTATTTATTTAGGATTTTCTAAAGTCCATTGAGCATCTCTTTGTATACACTATAATCAAATCAGACAGGAAATAAAAATTATCAGAATCTTTATTTCTAGGCACTGGACAGAGTATTGGAATTCTTAAGCTTCCCTAAAGATTCCACACAAAAAAACTACTGGAAGTGATAAATGAATTCAGTAAAGTAAATATAAAATACAAAATATATATCCAGAAGTCAATTGCATTTTTATACACCAATATAAGCGATTACAATGAGAAAACTTAAGAAAACAATCTCATTTATAATTGCATAAAAAATAAAATAAAATGCCTATGAATACATTTAACCAAGGGTATAAAAGACCTGTACTCAGAAAATTATAAGACACTGAAGAAAGAGAATGAAGAAGATACAGATAAGTGGAAGCATATATCATGTTCATGGATAAGAAGAATTAACATCTTAAAATGTCCATACTACCCAAAGCAATCTATAGATTCAACACAATTCCTATCAAAAAACCCCAAATAACCACAGCAATCTTGAAAAAGAAGAACAAAGTTGGAGGAATCACATTACCTGATATCAAACTATATACTACAAGGCCATAGTAGTAAAAACAGCATAGTACTGGCAGAAAAACAGACATAGATCAATGGGACAGAAGAGATCCCAGAAATAAACTCACATCTTTATTGTCAATATTTGACAAAAGAGACAAAATCATGATGGGGTAAAGATAGTCTATTCAATAAATTGTGTTAGGAAAATTGGCAGATACATGCAACAAGATGAAACTAGACCATCTTTTTACACCATACACAAGAATAAACTCAAAATGTGTTAAAGACTCAAACTTTAGACTCAAAACCATAAAAATCCTAAGAGAAAACATAGGCAGTGAAATCTCAGACATTATTTATAGCAATATTTTTTCTGATATATCTCCTCAGGCAAGAAAACAAAAGAAAAAATAAACAAATGGGATTACATCAAACTAAAAAGTTTGCACAGCAAAGGAAACCGATCAACAAAACAAAAAGACAATCTGCTGAATGGGAGAACAATTTTGCTAATGATACATCTGATAAGAAATTAATACCCCAAATTTACAAAGAACTTAGAAAACGCAACATACACACAGAAAAATTCAGTTAATCTGAAGATAGATAGAAAAATATCCTCGGGTGAGGGTTATAAATGAATATTTTAATTTTTTCAATGGATCAATACTGAAGAATTTCAATAATTTAGAATTATATAAGAACAACAAATGGACTCATTGAAAAGAACTAAATTCACAGTTGGAATGAACTATTTATCATTGAGTAAATACTTAATAACTCTATACAGCAAATACAAATCACGATTTATAAACCGTCATATCCACAGTGTAAATTTGACATTAATCACCAATTACATCTTTCTAAAGCATTTACAAAACTTTAGCATGGAGGATTGAGAGTACTGTTTCTGTTTTTTCAGGGGTCTTCCTTTGTTGTGCTGGCTTCATGTTTACTTTTCAAGCTGGTACCTTCTCTAAAAATAGCTCACTGTTGTATTATATGGAGTCTTGTGGCTACAAGAAGTGAGAAGGTAGAGAACTAATTGTAGGAGAAAGATGAAACAACTTGGGAACAAGGCAGTTATTAAGTAAACTTAATTTTAGGGAAGATGGGGTGGGATAGATAAAAAGCATGGACAGAAGGATTATGATTATGCTAAATATAGAAACAGACCTACATGAAACACACAAGCACATAATATGCTAATTATGTAACAAAACATTCATCTCATTTAGCAGTATTTTAACCTCACAGTTCTCACAGTCACAGTATGTTCATCCCTACCATATGGGTAACCGTTAGCTTATAAACTCTAAACATGGTAATGTACAATTTAATAATATTTGGAATATGTGTCCAGCTCAGTTTGTTGCCCTAATTATATGCATATTTCTGATATAATTTTTTAGATTTTTAAATTTTATTTTGTTATCACCATGTATTTCCCCTACATCTCACTATTTTCTTTGTATTTCATATTCTTTCCCCTTTTTATTTCTATTCTTTACTAACCGAATATTGTATCATATCTGTTCTTGGATAATTGCTAATTTATTCATTTCTAAGACAGTTTTCTTTTTTCTTTCATTTCTTTCTTCTGTTTGGCCAACTTCCATTTCACATCTTTCTATTATTTTTCCATTTTTATTCTGAGTTATTAAATTTTCATTGATGGTATTTTTTAATACCTGAAAAAGCTTGCTTAATTATATTTTATCTAGGTGAGGAGTGTTAAGTTTTTCTCTGCTTTATTGCTGCCTCTTTTGTTTTGTTTTGGTTTAGTTCTTAATTTTGAGAATTTTTATTTTTCTTTATTGATTTTTACAGAGAGAGGAAAGGAGAGGGAGAGCTAGATAGAAACATCGGTGAGAGAGAACATCGATTGGCCGCCTCCAGCATGCCCTTCACTGGGGATTGGACCCACAACCTGGGCATGTGCCCTGACTGGGAGTCAAACTGGTGACAACACTCAACCACTGAGCTACACCAGCTGGGCTTAATTTTGAGGATTTTTAAAAACTAAGTATATGGATACTAAGTTGTCTTTTAGATGTTCATGTTTACTTGTGTTGATTTTTTCTTTATCAGTAATAGTTCTTATAGTTGAACTGATATTTTGGTAGCTTTTCTGCTTAGGTTAGGAGCGCCCTCTTCTGCTGATACAGCAAAATGCAGTTGTTAGTTAGTTAATTATTTACTTATTTTTCTGTCCAGGAAGCATTTTAGTTGCTCCAAGTTTAAGAATTTTCACTGACATAGAAAATCATGTACTTTATAGTCTCTCTCCCTCCCACTCTATCTGAACAAATATCGAAAAATCTCCTCAGGTGAGGATAAAAAAAAAAAAAAGAATTTTCACTGACAGAAAAATCAACACTTTCAGCAATCATCCTGCTATTTATTTATTTTTAAGTAAATGGGGCTTTTGGGGGAAGGGGTCTGTTTTCTTTGTTTGTGTGCTTGTTTTTTCTATTAATTTAATTCTGCAGAGCTCTTATCTTGGCCACTTTCTTATTCTCTCTTATCTAGGCCTGAAGGAATACCTCTTGTTTTCAAAGCAGTTTCCCCTCAGAAGCTGTTTCTTCCCATGATTACCACCTCTGGCCCCCTACATTCTACAAGCCTCTTTCTTCTGCATTCCTCATAGAAAGTGCTCTGAATTATCAGATCTTATTATTATTTCTGTACTGCATGGGCAAGAGGCCTCTTATTCCAGACAAAACTATGGTTCATGTTTACTGTGTTTTCTGTTCGTAGTTATCAACTAATGGTCATTGGTGCCAGTTCATTGCTAACAGGGATCTCCAATTTGGGCTGTGGTGAAGAAGGAAACTTTATTCAGAGCAATACAGCTCAATTGTGATACATCAGGGCTGTGAGGCAGCCT